GAACAAGACAGGGGGTTTTCAGGGCTTCTACGCAAAGGGCTTTCAGGGCTTCTACGCAAAGGGCTTTCAGGGCTTTTTTTCAATTTATTACATCATGGTGGGCAGCACGACTTTCTAAAACTTTATGAGGATTAGAAAAGATTTTAGCATTAAGCTGTTATGAAGTTAGCGAGAAATATACAGACGAGCTAGGCATAGTCAAAAAGTTCATTTCAAAATAATAGATCTTATATATCACTTTTAATAGGGTATAGCGACAACTCAGTTACTGAGATTTATTGTTTTGCTCCATGAAACTTTATTTTCGCAGTTTTAGTGCTATGGGTATGAAAATCATTTGCTTGCTTTTGCTGTATGACCATTTTTTGTAACACACTGAGTAGGGCTCAATAATCTATTTACATCACAAAAACCAACTTCTGCTTGATAGAAAGTAATCAGCAAAACTTCATTAAACGCTACAGCCGGTTTTGTCGTTTGACGCTTAATTATTCAGGAACGTTCCAAAGCTGGATTCAAGGCTGATTACAGTTTTTGTGTAAATGATCCAGGGTCCCAAAAACGGGAAAAGCACGATAAACGCAGATTATTATATCCCTTTTTCTTCGAGGAAACTTTGTCTACGAACACCTTTCTTATCAACTGTATTTTATCGCATAACTGTTATTTTCAGTGTGAAGAAATTAAGACTCCTCAAATGTCAAAAGTAGAGGGTTGAATATGAGCTGAGTAAGCCCTGGTTCTTTTGATCCTGTGTTGTATTGCTTAATATGTTAATCTGTAGCCCTAGCTTTCAGTCCTGCGTGAAGTCAGCCCTAGCTGGTTATCTGGCAAATTATCATTTTTTTTTATTCGTGAATGAGGTATTTTATTAATGGTAAAGATTTTTTTGGTACTGTAATAAGCTGCTAATTGTCTCAGATGTGCATTCAAATACCACCATATTGAAAAAGTTAATGACACTTAAATTATATAATGCTAGTTCGGTGAATAGCGTAGGTTAGGACTATTCATTTTACAGCTACAGTTTCTTTCACTAAAAACTTTTTAACTTTGTTGTGGACTTCAGCTCATCTTCAGATACATTACTCAAAAATGCACTCACTTCCTGCAATTCTAGACTCCAAGATAATTTTTTCTTTAGTTATGCTAAAAATGACCTGCTCAGTTCAGAAAAAAGGTGTTATCTTTGTATTTTTAGCGCCTACTTGCCGATAAATGCTCCGTCATCTTATCACAGAATATTCATCTTTCACACTTCTCGTCACCTTTGTTACTCTGTTTCCTCAGTGTTGTCATTCATTAGCGATTTATAACGCCCAGCACTATCGTAAAAACCTCAGATTTGCTGCTGTGAGCTTTCTCTTAATTGTGAATATTATGGTTAATCAATCTGTTGATGCTAGAAAAGACTACTGGTACTTGTTTAAGGTCTATAATATGTGTTGAAGTAAAAGCTTAATTGTTTCTGATAAACAAATAAGTGTAAAATTTTTCCCTCACACTAACGTTTGCATTTTTTTACTGAGACGTAAATCACTAGGCGTTTAATGGGCTAAATTTTTTGAAACGTTGTTATTTTTGCAAAAAAGAAAAAATAATGTAGGAAAAGTGCAACAGCTCTAATAAAATTCTAGAAGAAATTATTTTTGAATCCAATTATTTTCGCTGCTATAACTGTTACGACATTTTGCCAAAAAACTGACATATGTGGAAAAGTAACGTTAAATAAAAGAAAATTAAAATATTAGCGATGCATCAAGTAAAATTGTAGAGAAAGAGGTGAGTTCTAGGAAATCAGGAATTCAAAAACTTCCGTGTTATAATTTTTGTTTTTATATAATTTAAAGACGCAGAAGTGATGGGATCGAAAATAGTTTCTCAGTTTCTCTGTACCCTGTTGTTGTTAGCAGAAAATGAGAAGAAAGACTACAGGTGTAAAGTCAAAAGAGGACTATAGTTTTAAGGCAGTTGTGACACATTTAGTAATTGTAAATTGTTTCGACTCTCAACTTGAGATGTTTCCTGGACCGCATCTTTGTGCCGTGCGTTATCCTAAAGCGATTCTGGAGGATTGGACAATTACTCTGAAAAGCATAGTTCCGTTGGTCCGACCGAAATTCTTTTAAGTGAGTATCTCCGCCAACTCTACAAATGCTTCGTTTCTGTCCTCAAAATCACTTAATTATCTTCCTTATACCAGTAGCATAGTTGTTGGAGCTCTTCGGATATTATCCTGGTAAGTGGCTCGATAAAACAGAGGAATTGTAGGTACACGGTATGCGACATCAAACTCTGAAAATAAAATCTTGATTTTAACTTTCTCAAAAACTTTTCAAAAAGCCTGAGGAAATTAACTCCTTCTGTAATAGACTCCCTTTATCCCCTCACAGCATTCAAGGGTGGATTTCTCCCAAATGGGTCCCATCAAGCCTTCTCTTTTTTTTCGCCGTAATCTACTAATTATTCTCTTACAGCATTGCAATCTTAGATGGTGGCTGAGGTGTCTAAGTCTAGAACTCGCCTCTTTTAATTTTCTTATCTTTACCTTATACGACTTTAAATCTCTTATATCGACTTCTCACCGTGTTAACCTAGAAAAATAAAGCTACATAAGCTCAAGGTTTTTAATTAAAAAATCTTGGTCTAACAAATGGTATTCAATCTCCACAAAGGACTGTCTGTGGAATAAAGGAGAATAGTTCTCTTTCAAATTGCTAAAACAACCCTTTCTAGGAGTATGGAAGCAGACTCATAACTTGCTTTGTTGGAACCTTAAGGCTTGACTTCTTAACCCTTGTCTGGGTTTCCACTGATGATGCTCTTCCTCTCGTACTTCTGGTTCTATAAATATCTTCTTTGACCTAGGACCTCCAGGAAGGCCGATGACGTCCAGGTACCTGGTCTCACCCTCAATAATTACCGTGATAAGTTCCCATCCGACTTATAAAATTCTTCTGAGCGTCATGCCTTATTCAGTCGTGCTTTAGATTTGCGGCCTTGGGACTTGTTAAAAGACGTTGTATTTGATGGTCTAATTTACAGTATAATATAGCACTAAATGACTATTAAACAATGCTTCGACACCATCCTCATCTAATCGTTTTCTTAATTTAAATGCTTCATTTCAAAAAGTGAAATGATTTACAAAACATTTTTCCAAGCATAATACTCCATATTTGCCAGTAAAATAGGGTTGTAGCAAAACACTACAAATAGTTCTACAAATAGTTATCAAATAGATAATGCTTTATAGCGAATAAGTGGTTAAAAAAAACACTAACAAGTACCACATTAATTGTAATAGCAAGCGCTATTATAATAAGTGGCGGAATAGCGACCAGTTCAGTAGTTGTTTTTTCGCAACCGTATAAACGACGAGGCTGATACAGCTACGGCCTTCATCGTGTACAAGACCGTTTATATGCTTTACCGCTTGCTTTATCGATCTCTACGCTCAGGTTATAACAATGTCGGTAACTTACCGGCGACGAATAGGTCCAGTAATTGTGCAAGCTATCTGCCTATGGTCATTATTTTTTTTTTTTTT